CTTCCGCCACGCCCCTGAATACGTCATCAATGCAGCCCCGCCCCTTCCCCAGAGGCTCCGCCCTCCCAGGCGCTCTTAAAGGCGCCGCGCGGTGCCACGGAACAGGCGGGCCGGGAGCGGCGCTCGGTGGGCACCGGGCTTTATTGGGGAACCGGGGGAACAACGGACTCGGGCTGGGGAAACTCGGGATCCCGGACGGGAACGGCCCGGGCTGGCCGGTACCGTTAACAGGGCCGTGGTGCCGGTACCGGCGTCTGTGTGGGGGACTTCAGTGCCAGAACGGAGGATGCCGGTACCAGTACCGGGAGCATGGTGCCGGTACCGGCATCTGTAGTGGCGGTATGGGGGAGGTCGGTGCCAGAACGGGGGTTGCCGGTATCAGTAGTGGGAGCGTGGTGCCGGTAGTGGAGCCGCTGGTGCCGGTACTGCTCCAGGATCGGGGCTGGAGTGCCGGTACCGGAGGCCCCGATGCCCCTCTCATTTCGCCTTCTGCATTAACTCTGCCACGTTCAGGGATGCTTTGATGCCTGCGGAGACACGGATGGCGTCACTGCCCGGCCCCGGTGGCCCGGGGACAGCCAGCCCTGCCCTCCCCGCACCCGGGGCGCTCCGCAGGGGAGCCCCAGAGCGCCCAGGGACACAGGGATGGACACACGGACACGGGGACACACGGACACAGGGACAGACGGACACACGGACACGGGGACAGACGGACACAGGGACAGACGGACACACGGACACACGGACACGGGGACACGGGGACACACGGACACGGGGACACACGGACACACGGACACACACGGACACACGGACACGGGGACAGACGGACACAGGGACACAGGGACACACAGGGACACAGGGACACACGGACACACGGACACAGGGATACACGGACACACACGGACACACGGACACACGGACACACAGACACACACGGACACACGGACACACAGACACACACGGACAGACGGACACACGGATAGAGGGACGCACGGACACACGGACACACGGACGCACGGACACACGGACGCACGAACAGACGGACGCACGGACACGCGGACGGGGTTTGGCTACGGAGAAGCGGGAGGGGAGCGCCTGCTCTAGCCAGGGCACGGGAGAAGGGGCCGGTTGTGCGGGAGCCGCGCCGGTGCCTGCGGGAGCGGAGCGGTTTGGGCGCTGCCACGGCGGACACGGAACCGGCACGGGCCCGGTCCCGGGGCTCGGTACATACGGGCAGGCTGGGCTGCGGGGCCACCCCGGCCGCCAGCCGGGCTCTGCTCTTGGCCAGAGTCTGCAGGACTGGACCGTGCAGCGCAGAGAGGAGAGAGAGGTTAGAGAAGGGAGCTCCTGTCACGGGGCTGCGGCAGCACGGCCCGCGGGAACCGGGAAATCACCGCTAAACCCAACCGCCCGTGCCCCTGCGCTGGGAAAAACCGGGCACGGAGCCGGGGGGAGGGACAGGAGGACACGGGTTACCTTCTCGGGTGACGGTGGAGGCCGCGTCCAGGGCCTTGGTGCCGATGTCACCCATCATGTTGTCCACGGCGTGGTGGTGCTTGAGGAAGAAGGGCCGGATGATGTTGTGGTAAATGAGCTGGGAGCCGTTCCAGGGCACTGGGGCCATGCACCACACCAGGAACAGGCACTGCGGGGACACGACGGGCTCAGCTGCTCCAGCGGCCCCAGGTGAGTCCAACTGGGAGCTCACTGGAGCTTACTGGGAGGCTCCCAGGATCTGAGCTGGGGGGAAAGCCCACTGATGCATTCATTTTTAGCTTTTATATTTCCCACATTCTTTACTGCCTTGGTGTAGAGCTGTGAACTTCATATAAAGTGTGAGCAAGTTCTCTTCACACGAGAACCAAGGACACCATTGCAGCTTCAGGTCCCCAAAAATTAATAAATTAAATAAAAAAAATTCAACAGCGAATCGAGGAGAGCAATCTGTGAGGGTGGAACTTCATAACTTCGAAGCTGTAATTAGACAATTAACCCCAATATGGAAATGGACCAAAAAAATACATAAAAATAAACATATATAAATAATATACATAAAATAAATATATATAAAAATGTGAAAACTCGCGTCTGTCTTGGGTGGAGCCACGGCCAGGCTCTCGTACTGCCCGAGGTGCATCCTTTAAAGGCCTTTTTAATAAATCCCTGCTTTATTTCTTTAACGCTGTCCAGCCTGCTCCAGGCAGCCTCAACTCCTCCCTGCTCGGCCGCAGGAGCCCCGAGCCGCCGTTACCTTCCCGGCATAGTAGAAGGGGAACCAGTAGAGGAAAATGTCGGAGAAGAACTCGGCGATGCTGAAGATGCCGTAGACCACCCAGTACGTGAGCCACGTGGTGTCGTCCTCCTTGCTGCTGCTCTCGATGGCTTTGACGCTGTGAAGGACAGGGAGGGAGGGAGGAAAGGAAGGAAAAAGGAAAAAGGGAAAAGGAAGAAGGAAGAAGGAAGAAGGAAAAAGGAAGAAGGAAGAAGGAGAAAGGAAGAAGGAAAAAGGAAGAAGGAAGAAGGAGAAAGGAAGGAAAAAGGAAGAAGGAAAAAGGAAGAAGGAGAAAGGAAGAAGGAGAAAGGAAGAAGGAGAAAGGAAGAAGGAGAAAGGAAGGAAAAAGGAAGAAGGAAAAAGGAAGAAGGAAAAAGGAAGAAGGAAAAAGGAAGAAGGAGAAAGGAAGGAAAAAGGAAGAAGGAAAAAGGAAGGAAAAAGGAAAAAGAAAGTAAAGAGGAAAAAAGGAAGAAGGAAAAAAGGAGGGGAGGGAGGGAAGGAAGGAGGGAAGGAGGGAAGGAAGGAGGGAAGGAAGGAGGGAAGGAGGGAAGGAGGGAAGGAGGGAAGGAGGGAAGGAGGGAAGGAGGGAGGGAAGGAAGGAGGGAAGGAGGGAAGGAGGGAAGGAGGGAAGGAGGGAGGGAAGGAAGGAAGGAAGGAAGGAAGGAAGGAAGGAAGGAAGGAAGGAAGGAAGGAAGGAAGGAAGGAAGGAAAACACGGCTGCTTCAGTCCTGGGATGGGCTCCAGCTTCCCAAATCCTCCAAACCCTGGAGGATTGCTCCCAAACCCCACCGGCTGCTCTGGCAAGGTCCCAGCGTTTCCAGGAAGGTGTCAAGAGCCACAATTGCCTCTTCACTGAGCAGGGAGAGGCTCAGCGAAGGGCAGGGAAGGCTCTCCAGGTGTGGGACAGGTACTCACGACACGTAGGCGGGGTACACGAAGCCGATGATGTTGCAGAGCAGGGAAGCGCCGTAGCCGAACATGAGGTACAGCCCCACGAAAGCCACGGAACCTGCGGGGGACAGGAGCGTTCTGGTGCCTGCTGTCACCCGGGTGACACCCCGCTCGGTCTCCCGAGCAGGATTCTCATCCCCGAGCGGCGACAGGTGAGTGATAACCACCGCCCCTAATTAATTCCAGCACGCCCTGAGGTGCTGGATGTCCGCTCCTCCCCGAGGGAGCCGTGACCTGCTCCTGTCACCGTTCGTCCCCTCCCCGGGCTCGGATGGGACTTTACCACCCCAATCTCGCAGCACTTTCGCCCCCTGGAGCGGGGCCAGGGCGGCAGGAACCGGAGACGCTGACAACACACCCATGGTCCAAAGTCAAGGCTCCTGTCGCCTCCCCCGGAGCCGCTCGGCATTCCCAGACCTCCCGCTCAAGGACGAGCCCTGCTCCCGGATCAGGCGCCCGGGATCGCGGCTCCTCCCGGGCAGAGGAAGCTTTGGCTCCCCTGGGAGCCGCAATCCAGCCCCGCTTCCCTGCTGCTCAATTCGATCGTTAAATTAAAAGCGAGCCGCGGGCTTTGGTGGCCTGGAGCCTGCCCAGCGCTCGGACACTCGCAGGAGGCTGGAGCGGCCGAGCTGGGCGAGAGGGAGCGTGGGGAAGGTGGGACAGGAGCTCTGGGGATGGAAAGCAGGGCTCAGAGGGCAGGAAAACCTCAGCCATGCACGGGATGGAGCACTTTGTCCAGCCCAGCAGCTTCTCCCCAGCACTGGGAAAAACTCCTCCATCAGCAGCAAGAAAGCTGGGAATTAACCTGTCTGTGCTGGTGAATTAAAGTCCTTGCTCGGGCTTGGAGGGCGGATTATCCCAGCTCTGCCTGCTGCAGCATTCCTGGGCTGAGCTCCGACCCCGATCCGGGGCACCCACAGCTCCGGCTCTTTCCTGGGAGCTGGGCAGGAGCAGCGTGGCTTTGGAGCAATCCCAAACCTCCCTCCAAGGAGGGCAGGCAGGTCCAGGCAGTGCTGGGTTTCATTCCCCAAGAGCCTTAGAAGGGATTTCGCAGGATTTTAACCCCCAGAGAAATTTATGTAACAGCAAAACCCCAGGGAAAGGCTCCTCTGAGGGAGAGGTTGGAGGTGGTGCTGCCCAAAGGTTGCTCCAAACCCCAGCCCACGGCTCCAAACACAAATTAGAGATTGCTCCAGAGCCACGGGAGGGAGAAATTGGGAAGTTTTAGTTCAGCACCAGCTTCTCCTTCCCGGGACAGGGATCCAGAATGCAGAACCATCGCTTTTTGGTGCGTCCGTTCTTGTTCTGCCCCAGAAATCCATCACGGCTGAGCCTGATCAAATCCCCGGGGTTGTTTTGTTTGGAAGATGCCTGAGTGGCACCACATCCAAACACGACCCGCACAGCGGCTCCTTCCCCTCAGAGTGGGAACAGCAGCCCTGCTGCAGGTGAAGGGTCAGAGAAGCACACCTGGAGGGACACAGGAGACGGGGAGCGCTCCCCGGGAGGTTTGATATGAAATCTCAAACTGAGGCCAGTTCGAGTTGGCAGCGAGGGCACAGGGCCGAGGGTCAGAGGAGAGGGGGGCACGGCGTGCCAGGAGGAGGATCCCCGGGGAAAATCCGGCTGGTTGCTCATTAATGAGCAACAGGGATCCGGTTAAAGGCCGGATCCCCACGGTGCCAGCAGGGGGACGCGGGGATGAGCTCTCATCCCCAGTGCCCCGTCTGACCCATCACGATCTGGGGGCTCACCAGGTCAGCCTCTGTCAGGGCCAGGGGTCCTGAGGGTCTCTCTGACACTTGGACCCTGTGAGCTTCGGCATTTCGTGCCAGTGGAAGGCGAGGGCAGCGCGGTGACAGCCACGTCACCCCCGGCACCCCCAGCCCAGCAC